TAAATAATAAGTTGCTCATGTACAGGAATGAATTGAACAAAAAGATAATATATTTCCTCAGTTCGAACCTGTGGCGAGGAAACGCAAAGTTACGGATAGACGCTCGCAAGGTTTCACTGCTGGTCTCAAGTGTGTATCCATCTTAGTAATGTAAGGCAGAACCAATTGTAAGATATTATCAAAGCAATCCCGATCAAGTCTATGGAATTGTCGAAATTTCTCTGGATCCTCTGCATTTAATTCTCGAACGAGATTGTTAAATACTCCTTGCGATTGTCTTCTTTGGATCCATCGCTTTGTCCACAACTTACGATGTACAGCTCTCAAACGTCTCCGTCGCTTTCTCAACAACAAAATCAATAGCAAAACTTTTTCGTCTTCTGAGGAACTATCATTATTGCTATATGTGTTGGTGTCACTGATATTAGTGTCACTGCTATTAGTGTCACTGGCATCACTGGATATATGTATCGCATCCATTTTCTGGCATATACAACCACAAATACAACCATCAAAATGAGGGTCTCCACTGACCTAACGACAACTGGACTAATCAGTAGAAAAGACTCCTTGCTAGATATTGCGCATTGGCGACACATGACAAAAGTGGCGTTTTGTGTACTTACTATAATAATATATAACCATGCTCGTAAAAAAGTTTTATTAGAGAGACATTAATAGTTTAAGTTTAAACGAGTGATAAGAAGGCTAAAAGTGTTAAAGTGCTTAGAAAAATGTGGTAGAAATATAAAGTATGCCAGTTTTCGGCATATATAACCATGGTCGTAAAAACGTTTTATTACAGAGATCTTGTTAGTTTGAGTTAAAACGAGTGATGAGAAGGCTAACAGTGTTAAAGTGTTTAGAAAAATGTGGTAGAAATATTAAGTATGCCAGTTTTCGGCATATATAACCATGGTCGTAAAACGTTTTATTACAGAGATCTTGTTAGTTTGAGTTTAAACGAATGATGAGAAGGCTAACAGTGTTAAAGTGTTTAGAAAAATGTGGTAGAAATAAAAGTATGCCAGTTTTCGGCATATATAACCATGGTCGTAAAAACGTTTAATTACAGAGATCTTGTTAGCTTGAGTTTAAACGAGTGATGAGAAGGCCAACAGTGTTAAAGTGTTTAGAAGAATGTGGTAGAAATATAAAGTATGCCAGTTTTCGGCATATACAACCATGGTCGTAAAAATGTTTTATTACAGAGATCTTGTTAGTTTGAGTTTAAACGAGTGATGAGAAGGCTAACAGTGTTAAAGTGTTTAGAAAAATGTTGTAGAAATATAAAGTATGCCAGTTTTCGGCATATATAACCATGGTCGTAAAAACGTTTTATTAGAGAGACAATGTTATTTTAAGTTTAAACGAGTGATAAGAATGCTAACAGTGTTAAAGTGTTTAAAAGAATGTGGTAGAAATATAAAGTATGCCAGTTTTCGGCATATATAACCATGGTCGTAAAAACGTTTTATTACATAGATCTTGTTAGTTTGAGTTTAAACGAGTGATGAGAAGCCTAAGAATGTTAAAGTGTTTAGAAGAATGTGGTAGAAATATAAAGTATGCCAGTTTTCGGCATGTATAACCATGGTGGTAAAAATGTTTTATTACAGAGATCTTGTTAGTTTGAGTTCAAACGAGTGATGAGAAGTCTAAGAGTGTTAAAGTGTTTAGAAAAATGTGGTAGAAATATTAAGTATGCCAGTTTTCGGCATATATAACCATGGTCGTAAAAACGTTTTATTACAGAGATCTTGTTAGTTTGAGTTTAAACGAATGATGAGAAGGCTAACAGTGTTAAAGTGTTTAAAAATGTGGTAGAAATATAAAGTATGCCAGTTTTCGGCATATATAACCATGGTCGTAAAAACGTTTTATTACAGAGATCTTGTTAGTTTGAGTTTAAACGAGTGATGAGAAGGCTAACAGTGTTAAAGTGTTTAGAAGAATGTGGTAGAAATATAAAGTATGCCAGTTTTCGGCATATATAACCATGGTCGTAAAACGTTTTATTACAGAGATCTTGTTAGTTTGAGTTTAAACGAGTGATGAGAAGGCTAACAGTGTTAAAGTGTTTAGAAGAATGTGGTAGAAATATAAAGTATGCCAGTTTTCGGCATATATAACCATGGTCGTAAAAACGTTTTATTACAGAGATCTTGTTAGTTTGAGTTTAAACGAGTGATGAGAAGCTAACAGTGTTAAAGTGTTTAGAAGAATGTGGTAGAAATATAAAGTATGCCAGTTTTCGGCATATATAACCATGGTCGTAAAACGTTTTATTACAGAGATCTTGTTAGTTTGAGTTTAAACGAGTGATGAGAAGGCTAACAATGTTAAAGTGTTTAGAAGAATGTGGTAGAAATATTAAGTATGCCAGTTTTCGGCATATATAACCATGGTCGTAAAAGTTTTATTAGAGAGACAATGTTAGTTTGAGTTTAAACGAATGATGAGAAGGCTAACAGTGTTAAAGTGTTTAGAAGAATGTGGTAGAAATATAAAGTATGCCAGTTTTCGGCATATATAACCATGGTCGTAAAAACGTTTTATTACAGAGATCTTGTTAGTTTGAGTTTAAACGAGTGATGAGAAGGCTAACAGTGTTAAAGTGTTTAGAAAAATGTGGTAGAAATATAAAGTATGCCAGTTTTCGGCATATATAACCATGGTCGTAAAACGTTTTATTACAGAGATCTTGTTAGTTTGAGTTTAAACGAGTGATGAGAAGGCTAACAGTGTTAAAGTGTTTAGAAAATGTGGTAGAAATAAAAGTATGCCAGTTTCGGCATATATAACCATGGTCGTAAAACGTTTTATTACAGAGATCTTGTTAGTTTGAGTTTAAACGAGTGATGAGAAGGCTAACAGTGTTAAAGTGTTTAGAAGAATGTGGTAGAAATATAAAGTATGCCAGTTTTCGGCATATATAACCATGGTCGTAAAATGTTTTATTACAGAGATCTTGTTAGTTTGAGTTTAAACGAGTGATGAGAAGGCTAACAGTGTTAAAGTGTTTAAAAGAATGTGGTAGAAATATAAAGTATGCCAGTTTTCGGCATATATAACCATGGTCGTAAAATGTTTTATTACAGAGATCTTGTTAGTTTGAGTTTAAACGAGTGATGAGAAGGCTAACAGTGTTAAAGTGTTTAGAAAAATGTGGTAGAAATATAAAGTATGCCAGTTTTCGGCATATATAACCATGGTCGTAAAAAGTTTTATTACAGAGATCTTGTTAGTTTGAGTTTAAACGAGTGATGAGAAGGCTAACAGTGTTAAAGTGTTTAAAAGAATGTGGTAGAAATATAAAGTATGCCAGTTTTCGGCATATATAACCATGGTCGTAAAACGTTTTATTACAGAGATCTTGTTAGTTTGAGTTTAAACGAGTGATGAGAAGGCTAACAGTGTTAAAGTGTTTAGAAGAATGTGGTAGAAATATAAAGTATGCCAGTTTTCGGCATATATAACCATGGTCGTAAAACGTTTTATTACAGAGATCTTGTTAGTTTGAGTTTAAACGAGTGATGAGAAGGCTAACAGTGTTAAAGTGTTTAGAAGAATGTGGTAGAAATATAAAGTATGCCAGTTTTCGGCATATATAACCATGGTCGTAAAAACGTTTTATTACAGAGATCTTGTTAGTTTGAGTTTAAACGAGTGATGAGAAGCCTAAGAGTGTTAAAGTGTTTAGAAGAATGTGGTAGAAATATAAATATGCCAGTTTTCGGCATATATAACCATGGTCGTAAAAAAGTTTTATTAGAGAGACAATGTTAGTTTGAGTTTAAACGAGTGATGAGAAGGCTAACAGTGTTAAAGTGTTTAGAAGAATGTGGTAGAAATATAAAGTATGCCAGTTTTCGGCATATATAACCATGGTCGTAAAACGTTTTATTACAGAGATCTTGTTAGTTTGAGTTTAAACGAGTGATGAGAAGGCTAACAGTGTTAAAGTGTTTAGAAGAATGTGGTAGAAATATAAAGTATGCCAGTTTTCGGCATATATAACCATGGTCGTAAAATGTTTTATTACAGAGATCTTGTTAGTTTGAGTTTAAACGAGTGATGAGAAGGCTAACAGTGTTAAAGTGTTTAGAAGAATGTGGTAGAAATATAAAGTATGCCAGTTTTCGGCATATATAACCATGGTCGTAAAAACGTTTTATTACAGAGATCTTGTTAGTTTGAGTTTAAACGAGTGATGAGAAGGCTAACAGTGTTAAAGTGTTTAGAAGAATGTGGTAGAAATATAAAGTATGCCAGTTTTCGGCATATATAACCATGGTCGTAAAAAAGTTTTATTAGAGAGACAATGTTAGTTTAAAACGAGTGATGAGAATGCTAACAGTGTTAAAGTGTTTAGAAAAATGTGGTAGAAATATAAAGTATGCCAGTTTTCGGCATATATAACCATGGTCGTAAAAAAATTTTATTAGAGAGACAATGTTAGTTTAAGTTTAAACGAGTGATATGAAGGCTAACAGTGTTTAAGTATTTAAGTAAATAACAGTGTTACAACAGTGTTTAAGGAAATAGTATGTGCGTAGTTTAGTTTATCAATGTATCCTTTCCCACACGGCTAAGAGCCAAGAAACAGTTATTGACGTTAATTAAATTTCCTTATGTACATTTCGTTAATTATATATAGCTTAAACAGAGGAACTACTCCGACCAATAATAATATTTGTTATTTGTAATAAAGACTATAAATACTGCTCTGTAAAATAATAAAAATCAGTTCGATCATTAAGTTCACTCGTGGTTGTTACCGAAGGTATATATATACTAAGAAAGAGATATGGCGAGTAACTCGAACTCAACAATTAGGAATACTTCTATAACTTTGAAAAATACAATGAAGACAAATTCGCGGGGAGAGACACGTGTGAAAAAGAGTCAGAGACCGGTATATAATATAATCTCTTTCCTGTTATATTGATAAATATTTCAATAATAATGATTCGTTATTTATGGCATAAAGTTTATGTCACATAATAATTCGTTTAGAGGAAAGAGTTAATCAGCAAAAATGAAAGTTTGAATGCATACAAAATGAGAAAGCGTCTAGTAAAGCGCGTAAGTTTGCTTTTGTATTTTTTATTTTGTATTTTGATAATATTTTATGTAATTTCATGATTTTAGATTGATCAAGTGTCCCAGTCTAATCGAATCGGTCCTCTTGTTTTATTATATTTGGATGGGAACGGAAATGTTCGAACAGCAGGTTATTGATTTTTGAGTTCACTACTTGAACACGCATATGTTTAACTGTATTGAAATAAACCCATTCTGTGTTGTAGGAAGTCCTGGATTGCGCGAAGATGTGTTGGACGTTGCCAGCCATATAGTATGCAAATATATTGAAAACGATTTGAGGTCTTCAACAACGTCATCTGGTGAATACTGTTACTGCTTTTTTAATTCTCTGATATTAAAATAAGCATCACTGTTATATATATATGATCATTTGACATATACAATTGTGAAGTTTAAAATATCTATATAGCAAACAATGAAAACGTATTGAAGTCGAAAAGAGTTCGACCTGATTTAATCGACCCTGAAGCTTTTGATGAAATAAGAAGAGGAAATGGTCGTGTGAAGAACTCAGAAACCTCGTGCTTAATATGGTTCTTCCTTCATTAGCATTTTCAGGCACAAACATGTTTCATTTTTAATAAGTTTAATGTTTGTAAAACATAAGCAGAGACAAATATTTCTATACTGCTGCAGGGTCTAAGGAGGAAACAAATGGCCTGTAGCCCGAATTAAAAATTTTTGGTCCAAAGCAGAACAACCATCTTTTTGGCCGTTACACATACCGTTTTGTTCACCATCAGCAAGAAAAGAGATTCCACTAGGTTTAATTAATGATTTATTTATGTCTTTTATTTTATGTCTATTTATTTATGTTTTCTAAACCATGTTTAAAATTGATTGCAATTCTTCCAGATGGCAACAACGATAAGAAAATTTTCAGGAAAGTTCTCAACAAGGCAGAACTAACCGAAATCGTCCTTTCCTATTGGAATTACATTACAGACGTAAGATAATACTTTGAATAATCAAATGTAAAAAATGTAAAAAAAGAAAATAAATTGTCCTAAAAAGAATACGTCAATTGTATTTTTACAATACGTTCTCCACACTTTATGTGATTATTACACATCCTAATAATAAATTGATGTGTACAGTTTAATGAAGAAAACATCGAAGAAGAGTACCAAGACATGGAAAAAGAAACTGATATAGAGGAAATAAACGAGGAGAAAGCGGACGAGTTCAAACAAGAAAAGAAGCATGAAGATATCGACGAAGAAGAAATTCAAGATGAAGATATGGACTACGAGCACAACAAAGAGAAATATCTTAAAGAAGAAGGAAACGAAGAAGACGAAATGGGACCAGAGGAACATTTCATGATGCAGCAAAAGGAATGAGATTAATATTTAGATATCTTTTTCTTCACCATCAAATCTTATGTGCAATTTCTGAATTTAGACGGAAAGCGCAGACCTAAATATCAAAGATATGTATGAAAAGGTAAATTTGACTTTTCACATGACGAAAGTTAAGATCTATATGTATCAAGATAAACAATACGCAATTAATATAGTAATTCTTACTTCTCTGGAAGACTTTTGCAAAGTGTTTTTATACGACAGTGGATCATTTTAGGGGGAAATATGTGGTATAGTTTCTGGATTCAGGATGGCAAATATGAGCTACAATTGTGAAATTTGTCAGGAATTGTTGCAATCCGCCAAAAGTCATCATCAACCTGTAACTCATGCATTAAGGTTCACATTTAAAGTTTATACTTAATTATTTTTAAAACATTTTACTTGTGATTACGTATTTATTTTATAGATCGAGTAAGATGGAAGCGATGGGTTTGCCTCAAGGCTATGATGCCAGTGAGCCAGGAAATATCTTTGAGGCGCTTAGTACGGATCCTGACAGGTTGAAACTTGATGCTTTCCTGTACGGAATTTCCCATCAACATCATTTAGCACTAGAGGTGACTTTTGCTCTACCTAAAAAATTTACTTAATAATACATTATTTCACATATAGATTTATCCTTAATATTTCAAATGAACTGAGATTTGATTTTTATTATAGCGCACCAGGCAAACGAATACGGAAACTGCAGGCAAGAAAATTGTGTCTGAAATTCATAATTTCCTGGAAGAAGGTATTATCGAATAACCTAATTAATCGTTGTACACACCATTTAATTCTACGGTTTTAAATTGAATAAAGTGATCATAAGCTTAATTTTCATATAACATGCCTTTCTGATAAAAGCTCAATTAACTTTTTCATAGATGTTGACTTGAAAGATACGCACTTCATGTGTATTGCTGGGGCACTTAGTGCATCGTTGGAGGTGTGGTGTCCTAAGTACGAGGTTTTCAAATATATCTACCGTGTGTTTGCCAAGCTATGCAAGGAGTAGGCAGTGTGGCTTTTACTCTTTGTAAAATAAAGAAGGACCTGTTTGCATTCTTGGAGCCAAAATGGGAAAAACGACAAACTCGACACCCAACGCAGCATAAAAGTTTAAATTACAGGTTTTTTTCCCAACATTTCTTGCCAAATAAAAATCTGAGTGATTCTAAACTTTTGTGCCATACGTATATTAAGATGTTTGTATTTTTTTATTTTTTCTCTAGGAGAACTTGGAATGGAGAAAATGAGAGGTTTTTTGTAGTAAAACATATTTTAGACACGTATAAAGAAAATAAGAATGACTCCTTTTATTCTTGACACGTTTTCATTTTGATTCCAGAGTTGCTTGTTTCGATGGTATAAGCATTTACGAAAGAGATTTGAATACACTAAATGATAACAGTTGGGTATGCGACACCATCGTAGACGTCCTGTTAAGGTACTACCCAAAATCTAGGTGTAGCTGAAATAAAGGACGAAAGTCACTCTAAATGCATGGCTAATGTGTCAAAACATTTACATTTTTATTTATAGGTACTACTGTAAATTAGCAGAAAAAAGAAATGCAAAATATTTCGCATTTAGCAATTTTTTTCAACAGAAACTGTTAATAGATGGACCTTTGTACGTATTTTAAGTAGCAAATTTTGGTAAAATATTCACAACTTTCACATTATCAAACTACTCATAAATCGTGTAAATAAACATCGCTGTATTTCCTACTTTTTAGAGGAGAAAGACCGCTGAGATTATCAGGATGTTTCATTTCAAGAGTGGGGATGTACACACCTGAAGAAATGAATAAATATGAATGTGTGCTAGTGCCAATATGTGACATGTAAGGGTGGAAGCACTAAATTTTACTGTTTCATGATGCAAAGGCCAACATGAGCCAACTCCATGTTCATTTAAAAAATATAGGCTGCATTGGTGGCTCATTGCATACAATATTAGAGCAGGCAAACTCTATGTGTTATGCAGTATGGGGTGGCAAAAAAGTGAAGTTGCATCCAGTATACGAAGGTATATGACGTACATAACAATTTACTTGAAGAATGAAGTGTATCATGTATCTAACATGTTGACAAAGTGAATGTTTCTAGCACGTCTACACAAATCATTTTCTTGTGAAAAGATATTTTCAGCATGTGAGGCAAGAGCAAAGATGGCCAGAAGACATTGCTCAAATTTCCCAACCTATATATGCCGACGTAAGTACTTATCATTTACAATGGCAACAGATCACGCTTAAATTGTCACAAAGGGATAACTTAACTATTGACGACAGGTGATGCAACAAGCAAATGGTTATGATTGTGGCATATTCGTGACAGAATTTGCGAGAAGAATAACAGAGGGGGTAAAGTTGAGAAAAGATATCATGATTCTTAATCACTTTGTTTACTCTGTTCATATAAAGATAGTGTTGTTTTTGATAGGGAGAAGTTGGTCCTGGATTACTTGTCGATATCCATGTAAATCGTAAAAGACCATACCTTAAAAAACTGATTCGAAGCTTTGCCATTTAGCAAAGCAATTTGTAATGAAGCAGAATTTAAGTTTAAAGCTAGTGCATATGAATAACATTCTTATATTTATAACAAGTGATGTAAATTATTTTTTTACAATTAACGACGTTACATATAATTGTTACTTTTGCAGAAACTATATGGGTAACTATGAAGTAATATTTTGTACAGATAAAACTATTCATAAAAACAAGTTTAAATTTTTCGAAAAACGAAACTATAACGCGTTACTAATGAATAACGCGACTAAGAGTGAGAAAATAGTCTTTGTAGGCTATTTCTCTCTCAGGATTGTACTTAACAATGCGTAACATGTTCCTGTGCCAAATATGGAGTTTTGTGAAAAGAAAAAAGTTATCGTATTCCATGTAAGAAACCATGGAGGCAAGAGGCTTAATACACGAATTGCACTGTTCAGCAGCTTGGCTATTGTACATATTGAGCATGGGGTACAATTTCATGTTATATCCTTCGCAGCATCCTACACATAAAGGGCAGTTATAAATCAACAAATTTTGTGAAAACATAAAAACGGCCATTTTTGGATCAATAAGTTCGCTTCAAGTAAAATAGGAAGAGTATGGCAGTTTACCTGAATGATTTTTCCAATGAAACTTATCAACAACAAATTTTGTTTTCTTAAAAAATGCTGGATCTCGGTTCAAACAATACTCGTGCAATCTGCAGGCATTATCGTAAATGACCAACTCTGGCGCTAAAGAAATAAAAATACACATAAGCATATCATCAGGCACATTCGGTTATGTTACTGCACATTCGGTTATGTTACAACTCTGTCAGGCGACTAAACCGTCACGCAATCTGTCCGATTCACTGATAATACTCTGTTTGTAGCACCATAAAAGGTACACACATACGTAACTTACCATCAGGAAAACGTGTTCGTAAAATGGTAAATGGGATATTTGGTGATTCGTGATCCCTCATTATTTCGAATCCATAACATATACCTGGAAACAAAACGAAGGCGCAATGTCACTGCAATAGTAAAACAAATTTTCGTTGGAGCTGTTCATCATGTAAATACCGTGGGGACAAAGAATACAAAATATTCCAGGGATCAAAGTGCCATGCTTCTTCTTGGGTCTAGTGACTTTGGCACAATCTCCCTGCTGTGTCTTCCTATTGTCAAGAACATAATTCCCTCGTTGAACCAGTTCTGGCAGAGAAGGTAGATATCCATGGGACGAATTTTGAGACACCGCAGGTAAGTTGTGTGGCAAACGCCACTGACCGTCCTTGACCTCGAACGGACTTATCGCCTTTTGTACCAATTCCTTTAGCAGCGGTTGAATAGTAATTGGAATTTCTTCGCTAGTCTCAATGACGTTAAACAGTAAGGGCACTTCTTCATGAAGAAGTTTTAAATCAGTCGAAGGATTGTCTTTTGGATTGGCTCCATCAGACATCCTTATCAAGAGGATTATTTAATTTAAAATGTGTACAGACTTTTAATAAGTGTTGAAATAATGCATGCCTTCTTTAAATTACTTCAAAATTTTTTAGCTTTTTCTAGTGAAAGCAGTCCTACATATAACCATTTCCAATGACTTTTCATGAGAAACAATATCAATATGTACATTAAAAACCTGTGTTTTGGTGGTTAACTCTTGGTGCTTGTCATAATTTTCAGCAATATCTTCACTTTGTTCATTCTACATATAAATGAAAAAAACCCATGAACATAGCGTATTTTTATATCTACATAGTTTTACAATATATGTAAACTTACTAAATCCCCAAATTCATTTTCTTGTTCAAAAAATTGAGATTCATATGACACACTGCTATTCTATTAACATATATGAAATTGTGATTAAAGGATATAGAGAATCCAGACTTGAAATTGGAAAATGTGCTCAGAATAATCGTTTTTCCTTACACAACATTGTGGGCATAAATAAATTTGTACACATACTTTTGTTAATATAACTGTCGTAATAAATATAAATTAATATGAACTTGTGCAACCAGAAACAATAAAAAGAACACTTTAAAAATTCCTACCGCATCATCTTTTTGTGTGTTTCCTTTCCTCTCCACGTTATTGTAAAAGAAGTCATTTGAGCGTCTGAATTTCTTCCTGAATTGATACATTTTGCAAGTGTACCCAAAAAATAATACCCCGATTTATAAAAACCAGTACTGCACGTGTTCTTGGATTGACAAAGTTAGCCTAGAATTAGTCTAAGTACCATTCTCCCAGCCAGACTTCTCCGATAGATATTTAAAAAAGTACTAAGCATAGTACTGAGTGACTGAGCCCTGTTGATCGATTGCCTTGCTTCGAGCTTTGATGTTGCAAACTCCTAAAAAATATGAATACACGAAGAAATATTGTTCTCATACATGAACTTCGAAACATGTAGTAAATGGAAGCCCTGAAATTTCTTTTTTAAGCTGCACCAGTCGGATGGTTGTATTTGTGGTTGTATATGCCATTTTCCGGCAGCGAAACATACCACATCACTGCTATCCGCCATATTGTGTTTACATTAATTTAATGTGCGCATGCGTAGTGTCATCATTGTAGGAGGACTTGCTTTTCGTCGGCCGCACACTTGAGATTTTTGTTACTCGTGACAAAAAATATCAAACATGTTTGATATTTGGAATATCTGTCACGAATGACAAATGTTGTTCGAAACTTCCGCGCACACTAGGAATTTTTGTCGATCCAACTTGTCACGAATAACAAGTACGCGCGGCAAGTACGCTAGTGTGCGGCGGGCTTAAGATAAGATATACAAAAATGAACTGAAGCATGATATTTGAATTTTACATAACATTATTTCAGATCTGCTACAAATGGCAACTGCCTCTATAGTTCATTGTCAATTCTGCTTGTTGGTGACAACTCTGTGGTGACTATTTTGAGGCTGATGACCTCTATAGAATTATTTTTATATGCTGATTATTATGCGAAACATAATATTGGAATAATTGGGACATAATTGGGAATATTGAAACATAATAATTGGGAGGGACTTAGAAGTGGGTTGTTTTTTTATGATAGTGAAATAGTTATGTACCATTACGATTATTCTTTAGTATCTGTACTGTGATTAGAACGTTCGCGCACGGTGACTGGATTCAAAACGGCAACTTGGGGTTGCATAAGTACAATATATTTAGTTGAATAAACGTATGTCTGTGAGTTGTCGAGGACTGCGATCTAAAAGCGGAGGTAAATTCTCGACATAGTGGCACCTCCGACGGGATACTAAAGAACTCAAGAAATAATAACGAGAAAAATGGCTTCAGAGAAACGGAGACAGGGGAATCAACGTTGGAGAACACGAACTTGACGAGAATAGAAAAGGAGCTTGAGGCCAAACTCATACAGTTAAGTCTAACTTTGAAACGAACGGAAAAGGTCTTGGCCTCAGGTAAGCGCTAAACCATTAAACGTCATGTTGAAGCGCTGCAGTCAGTGAACAGTTCTACAAACCAATGTATGCAATTAGTTGAAGAACAAAAAATCGCTAGTAAAGTTAATATTGACTTAATTTCGGACTGGAACGATGACCTTGAATCAAGGTTTGAGGATGCTAACGCCCAGATTTCTCTGCTTGATAAATGGCTTGCCGAAAACGAAAGGCAATCTAGAGTAGAAACCGAAGCAGAGATGTTTCGAACAGAATAAAAACTGCATGAAGAAAAATTGCGACTGGAAAATGAAATGTCCGCTTTGAAGTCGGAAACGCGAGAATTTTCCCAGCTGAATGCCAAATTACCAAAGTTAGTTATATCGAAGTTTGAGGGTTCCTTTATGGATTGGCCCAGGTTTTGGGGACAGTTTTCTGAGGCCATTGACAAAAGTTCCATTGCCGCAATAACTAAGTTTGCGTATTTGTTAGAATTGTTGAGTCCAAAGTTTAAAATATGTGTTGAGTCACTCCCTTTTTCAGCCGAAGGCTAAAACCGAGCTAAATCCATCCATCAGGATAAATACGGCAGAGTCTGAAATTGTAAAATGCTATGCCAAGGAAATCCTCGAACTGCCGCACATTTCAGGCAACAATCCACGTAAAATTGCAGATTTTAGCGGAAAACTTACATATTGCATGCGAGCTTAAGAACCTTAAAGAAGCTTGATGAGATAAACGTAAACGTGTTCATGACCTTAGAAAAATTATCAGGGATAAGGGGAGATTTAGTCCGTACCGACCCAGATTGGGAGTCTTGGAGTTTTGGTCAGCTTTCTGAAGCTTTGCGACAGTCGGTAAAACGAAATCCAGTAGTCAATAACGACTCGCGTTACCAAGGAAATAGAACGCACAAAGTATTTCATGCCAGACAAAACGAAGAGAAATTATCCGGCTGCGTTTATTGCGGTGATCTGGATCATAAAGCTACAAAATGCCACAAAATAGTTAAGCCGAATGAACGCAAACGAATTTTAGCTAAGTTTCAATTGTGCCACGGGATTGCACAGGGCATCCGAGTGTAAAAGTAAGATTGCGTGCGGGCACTGTAACAAACGTCATCATACGTCAATCTGTGAACAGCCACGCAATATTGGAAAACAAGACGATAAACACGCAAGTGACAGTAAAGCATTAATGAGCGATGGCGTGCATGCCGAGGGTATATTTCCTGTTGTTGTAGTTCAAGTGAACAATGTTAAGTGTAGGGCGTTGATTGATTTCGGTGCTGGAAGCTCATGCGCCTCTGCAAAGCTAATTGATGCACTTCAAACAAAACCTAGCGATATTAAACACCAGCGTATTGACATGCTCATGACATCACAAACTAAACGTATCGAAATTTATCTCGCGACGATTAGTGCACTAGCCGGTTCTCACGTGATGAGGGTAAAGTTGAACAAAGTAGATCGCCCAGAACTATTAACTACTAGTAACCCCCAATATGAAAAACTCTTGAGAGAATACAAACATTTAAATTCGGTAAAAATGGACGATGTTGATTCGAAGGCTAGGTTACAATACATCTCGTGCTTGGAAGCGGCGAGTATGCTCGCAGAAAAACCAGGGCAAAACCGTTGGTTGGTAACGAAGGGGACCCAATAGCAGAGCTGACAAAGTTGGGATGGATCATAATGAGCCCTGGCGTTGAAGTTGACCAGAACATGATACTACTAACGACAACGACAAACTCGCAAAATGACCTTGAACGATTGTGCAGGCTGGATGTACTCGGTTTAGAAGCCACGCCGGAGAAGAACCCTCTTCTCGTCTACGACCAATTTAGAGAAGACCTGCCTCGCGATGACGAGGGCTGGTACGAGACCGGTCTGCCTTGGAAGACATACCACCCGGAACTTCCATCATATGAGCGAGGAAGTCTGCGACGACTGAATAGTTTGATGAAACGTTTAGAGCGCAGTGGAATGTGCGAAGAATACAACGCAATCATTAAGGAACAGCTGCAAAAGGGCGTAGTAGAAATAGCACCTACAAAGGCCTCCAAAAGAGAATTCTACATCCCTCACAAACCAGTTGTGAAGAAAGCTGCTGAGCCCACCAAGCTACGGATAGTTTACGATGCTTCAGCTAAAGAGTCCGCCACCCAACCATCGTTAAACGATTGTTCAACGCTGGACCTCCGCTACAAAATCATTTATGGGATGTGCTGATCCGTGCTCGCTTTCACCCGATAGTTGTTACTGGAGACATCGAAAAGGCTTTCCTCCAAGTACGAATCAAAGAATCGGAGATGCGTTACGATTCCACTGGAAGGCACTCGGGGATGGTGAGATTAAGGTGTATAGGTTTACGAGAGCATTGTTTGGTTTGACGTGTTCGCCATTTTTTCTTGGTGGAGTCCTGAATGAACACTTGACATCATGGGACATATCCAGCTCTTGTAAAGGAGATTAAGGACGGTCTTTACGTTGATGACCTTATGGAAGGCGGCACAAATGTTGGCGAAGTGTTGTTAAAGAAGAAGAAAACGATAGAAATTTTTAGTGATGCTACCTTCAAGCTTCATAAATGGCACTCCAATGCAGCTGAAATGGAAAAATCCAACAATGATCTACCCGAACAAGACATAGACCAAACAAACGCAACCTACGCAAAGGAACAGCTCGGAACAGTGGACACAGGAGCAAAGATACTAGGCCTGCCATGGAATAAACTGCAAGATACGTTCAGTGTCGTCGTAGAAAAGGAAGAAAGCGCAGCGACGACAAAGAGAGGAGCATTGTCGCAACTAGCAAAGATTTACGATCCAATTGGTCTTATATCTCCGACAATGCTTACTGGGAAACTCCTGTATCGGAAAATGTGCGAAAGTCGTTTATCTTGGGATCAGGAGTTTGATGATGTCATGGGAAAGTTATGGCGGGATTGGTACAACAGACTGCCTAATGCATATACAGTCAATCGTCCACTAGCACCCTTTCATGTGCCTGTACGGTCTATTCATCTACACGGATTTGGAGATGCTAGCAAGGATGGTGTATCTGCGGTAGTTTATTCTGAAACGGATCAAGAAGATAACCTCACTCAAGGCATCGTTTGTTCTAAATCGCGGATCTCGAAACGAAATCTTACCATTCCACGGTTAGAACTTGTTGCTGGACATATGGTGACAAACCTGGTGATCAATGTAGAGCGTGCAATCGGTAAAGAAAGAGTGACATCAATTCATTGTTGGCTCGACTCCACGGTAGCGTTATGCTGGATAAACGGTCAGGGTGAATATCGCCAGTTTGTAGCAAATCGAGTGAGAAAGATCCAACAGCACCATCACATCGTCTGGCGTCATGTTCCAACAACTGAAAACCCAGCCGACATTGGGAGCCGCGGTGGGCATGTTGTCGACAACGATAAAGCAATAAAGGGAATTGGCCGCAAGAGATATTTGCTGAGGAGGTAAGAAAGGAAGAAAAATCTTCGGCACACGTCATGGTTGGAGCGGAAAACCAGGAGGAACACGAGTTCGACAAGTTAGTCGAATAGTATCCATTATGCAAAACCCTTCATCCACAATTGCAGGGGAACACGCGATGAACGAGAGACAGGTCCTATAAAGTACCACGAAATTGAAAACTGCACACTGTGGTGGATCAGACGTGAACAAAATTGGTTTAGAGAGCAGTCTTGAGTAGTTAAGGTGCAGGTATGGTCCCGGAAGTAAACGGAGCTCTTACCCGTTTCAATTAGTTTCCAGTCCTAGGAAATAAACAGGGCGCGCGCGTGTAAACCGGAAACGAACTTAGCGGGGGAATGTTGAATGTGATAGGTTATCATAATAAAGGGAAATGAAACAATTGACAAGAAATATTATCTAATTTATTAAAGCATCCAATAAAATGTCTTAAAGCACTCATCGTGTATTTCATTACACGACTCACTATATAGTCGAACTATCGTCTTAAAAATGTTATTTGCGTTGTTCATTATTGCATTGCTTTTGGACGTTTTGAAAAAAAACAAAAAAATATGGCACACATGTTTAATCAGATACATGCAGACACTGTTGAGTTTGAAGAAGTTAGTCACAGCGATCTTATCAATTTGATTTTCGTCGATTTTATAAGTAAAAAGATTCAAGAGCTACGAAGAGCTGAAAAGGATGAAAGTAAAGCGGACTCTTGGGTAGAGTATCAAAACGTTTTAGAAATGATAACTGAGGAAGATCGTTGGTTCAATTTTGCAGCTCGAGCAGTCGAAACAATTAATCGCTAACATGTCTGGAATGGAATATGTGAAGCCTTTAAGTTTCTAAAGAACTGTGGACCTTCGAACTCTCACAAGACATATTTTGACAAACTGTTTAGTGCTACTAGGGTAGAACTAATGTTATTGTAAACGGAGACAAAACGTCCTCCTTTTTTTCAACATCTCTTTGACTATGCTGATTGTAGTTGTAAACTGAAATACAAATCAACTATGTAATTGCTTTGACAAAAAAAAAATATATGAATTTCAATGTTGTTGCATTTTGACTTCAGTTGTTTTATGACCATGTCATTGTGAAAATGGGAATCGGTAGCAGCAAACGTGAAAATAGAGATGCAAAAAGGGATAAAAATCATAATCGTCAGAAAATGTTTCACTTGGGTATAAGTTTCGGACGCAACGATCTCAATCTTGAGGGTCATTTGCAAGCAGGATACACAAGTAAAACGGTCAAAAATTATGGACCTGTAGCAGTTAAGGCTGTAACAGATAACACAGTAGAGGAAACGTCACCTGTAAACGAGAACATTGAACCCTCAATTATGAGTAATTAAAAGTAATTGACACCTATTTGCAAAATTATTATCTTGAGAACATTAACATGAGTGACACCGACAAGTACCTAGCCAGTGTGTACTTTGACCCCAAACGTTCAGGAAGCTATGGGGGTGTTGAACGTTTGTACAATGATGTGAAAACCGAAGGAATATATGATATTAGTCGTAAAAAAGTTAAAGAATGGTTGAGTCAACAAGATGCATATATAATACATAAACCAATTCGAAGAAAGTTTGAAAGAAATCGCGTTCTGGTTAGCGGTATCGATGACCAATGGCAATTGGATTTGGCAGACTTACAATCTCTACAAAAGTATAGCGATGGTTTATCGGTATCTTCTTATCTGCATCGATGTTTTTCCAAAGTATGCTTGGGCTGTTCCATTGAAAAACAAATCAGGCCGTACATTAGTGAACGCTTTTCAGAAGATATTATCATCAGGACGCAAGCCGATTCACATTCAAACGGATCAAGGCTCGGAATTTTTCAATCGGGACTTTAAGAAACTTATGACAGAAGAAAACATTACATTGTTCAACACATTTAACGAGACAAAGGCTTCGATTGTTAAACGTTTGATACGTACACTGAAAGCAAAAATGTGGCGTTACTTTACCGCAAATAAAACGATGAGATACATCGACATGTGTCCCGATCTTATGTATTCTTATAATCAAAGTATGCATCGTAGCATCAAGGAAAAACCGATCAACGTTACAAGTGAGATAGCAAACTAAATAAACATACGCATGTAAAATATAAGTTTGATATTGGCGATCAAGTACGAATAAGTAAAATAAAACGAAAATTTGAGAAGGGGTATTTACCAAATTTTTCAAAGGAAATTTTCACTGTAATTCAAAAAATACCACGTAATCCTCCTGTATACAGGCTGAAGGATTATGATGGGGAAGAACTTAAAGGAACGTTTTATGAAAAAGAACTTCAAAAAGTCATCAAGAAAGACGATGTTTACGACATTGAAAAAATAGTTAAGAAACGGGGCAGAGGGAGTAATGTACAATATATCTTGTAAAGTGGTCAAGTTACCAAAATAAATTTAATTCTAGGGTACCTGCTTCAGAAATACATGTATAAAACGTAACTGTGTGCTTGATCTCTTTCATTTTACAATTTATATCAAAGATGAGCGGAACACACTTTTATTTGACATTACCTAGTAATGCATGTCTGCCTATATTTCCAGATAATAAAGTTTCAGGTTATCGTGTAAAATTACCTCACGTTGTGAATTTAAATGGTAATTGGGAAGTAGGATTGTATTCAATTACATATCCTCATACATGGTACACGTTGAAAAAAGGTTTGGATACACATATATATGTAACTTACAAATCAGGTCTACCTACTCCGGTATTTGTCGACTATGGCTTGTATGAAAAAGCCTTCGACCTTGTAAAAGCAATTAATGAGACTCTTGACAAAGAAGTTAAAGACAATATTCAATTGAGCTTTGACCCCCGTACAGAAAAAGTTAAAGTCCTTGTAAAACAAGGTTACAAAGTATTATTTAATCAACAAATGTCAATCTTACTCGGCTTTGGAGGAAAAGAAGAAGAGATTTCAAAAACAACCGAAATCCCTTATGCTTGTGATTTGCACGGATCCGTCATGATGTATGTATATTGTAACATTGTACAACCGCAAGTTGTTGGAGACGCCAATGTAAAATTACCAAAGGCAGTTGCTATTCAAGGAAAATATGGAGACATTGTTTCAAGAACATTCACGTAATATACTTACCCGTGCAAACAAAATCTTTTGAGGACATCGAAATTCTCTTAAGGGACGAGTTAGGAAATCCCATCGCATTTGAACGAGGGAAGTCGATAGTGACACTTCATTTCAGAAAACAATCCTTATCTTATTTTACATAAGAAAAAAATATGAGTAGAACAAACCGTTATGTTCAATATTATCTCAATCAGCAAAAAGGATACGGATCACAACCTGTCTTTAGAGGAGCATCGTGGCAAAAAGGTTATGGGCAGATGGGTTATGGTCTTGGTGGTTTATTTCGTAGATTGGCTAGAGCTGCAATACCTTTGGCAAAAACCGGCGCAAAAGCTCTAGGTAAAATTGCCCTCGATACAAGTGCAAACGTTTTGGGTGATGTTATCTCAGGGAAAAGTTTTAAAAAGTCTTCAAAATCTCGTGTTAATCAAGCAGCAAAGGAAACAGGGAAAAAAGCTGTAAACCGTATACAACAGTTTGCTCAAACAGGAAGAGGAAAACCCCAGAAGAAACAGGCAAAAAAACAGCTAAAAAGAGAAAAACATCGTCTTCTCATGTCATTTACCATTCAGCCAAGAGACATAAAGCAGCTAAAGAAGCAAAAGATATTTTCAGTTAAATATGGAGTTCGTTCATCCAAAATCAGCAGAATGTACAAAAAGTGAACTTGATATATTTTTCGTACCCCCAACGCAAACCAGTTTGGAAAAGGGGCGATGGATAGACCATCCACCGGTCTCTAGTGTATCTGAAAGCGGTCCGATTACCTTTTTAGCGCCAGATACAGAAGATTATGTTTACTTGTCTAACACAATGTTGATGGTCAGAGCAAAAGTAACGAAAGCTGACGGTGGAAATCTCGACGATGGCGCTAAAGTAGGGCCGGTGAACAATTTCTTGCATAGTTTGTTTAAGCAAGTTGATGTGTTTTTGAAAGGGAAGCTAGTAACCCAAGCGACAGGAACTTATCCTTATCGTGCATATATCGATACACTTTTGAATTATGGTCCATCAGCTAAACAATCCCAGCTGACAGCTGCGTTGTTTTACAAGGACGAAGCTTCAAAAATGGAGGTTGCCGACCCAGCAAACGCCAGTCCAAACAAAGGCTTGAAAACACGAAGTAGGTTTACTGCGAGAAGTGCAATTGTCGAAATGGGAGGCCCTATATTTTGTGATGTTTTCTTCGGTGAAGGCCTCCTGCTTAGCTATGTTGATTTGAAAGTGGTAGTGAACCGTAGCAGTGACGAGTTTGCCTAATGGCATCCGAGGACGATGCAGCCTTTAAAGTGAAACTGGTGGATGTTTATCTAAAAGTTCACAAAGTTAAAGTGAATCCTAGTAGAGCTATGTCTCAGGAAGTTGCACTGAAAAAAAGCCCAGCCTTTTACCCTGTAAGGCGTGTGGACTGCAAAAGTTTCATCATTCAATCAGGAAACCCATCGTTGCAAAAAGATAATCTTTTCAACGGTTTGGTACTGAAATCACTTGTCGTTGGTCTTGTTGGAAGTGCTGCATTCAATGCCCCGATTTATACTAGAGACGAATCATCCGTCTGGACGAACTTGGGCAAGAAAAACATAGTTCGTCTTTAAGTTCGTCTGTGTTTAAATACGGGCAAACAGACGGATCATCCGTCAAGACGAATTATCAGAATAGTTCGTCTGTTTAGACGAATTTGCATGGGTAGTTCGTCTTGACGCATCATCCGTCTGTGAGTATAAATGCGTACTGTGGACGAACTACCAAAACAAATGATACTTCGTTACTCGCTGTTAGCGGATTTCACCCATAATAGTCAATATGGCGGATAGAAGCAATGATCGTGTTCATGAAATGGTTCATGATTCGAACAAGAAAAATAGGGCTAAGAAGGAGCGAGTTTGGACCGAAACTGAATTAAAATACTTTGCAATTGTACTAGCAGATGAAAAGAAACAGTATGCTGTTCAATTAGAAACGCTAGCATTAAAGAAGTCTGCAAACTTGTGTGTTTATGAAGAAATTGCAAAAGATCTTGAAACATACCTAAAATCTGACGACTTCAAAGAAGAAAGCAAACGTGAAAGAGAAAATTCGAAACGAAAATTGAAAGATACCCCCCCTGGAAATTACTCCAGCTAGGCTCCGAGTTAAGTATAAGTTTCTTAGAAGTCAGTGGCGAAAATTTACAGATCGTGTTAAAAAGGGAAGCGGAAAGGCACCGATTGTTGAGCCAGAGTGGTTCACCATCATTAATCCAATATTTTCTGATACCATGGGAGATGCAGATGTTGCTTCCTGTAGTGGTGATGTTCTGTTATCTTACGAATCAGAAAATTCATTGTCAGATTCAGACAAGGAGGATGAGACAGTTGATAGACCAGATACACCTTTTAGTAATACCAGCGGCCTTAGCATTGAAGCAACTGATAATAGTGGCGATGATGATGTACTAGAAGCCAGTACAAACAGTAGCTCCAGCAGTAACACCAAAGGGAAACATAAAGCTAAACTTGAAATCAGACCTTTTTTTCAAAAAAGAGTAAAAAGCCAAGCACAAGCAATTCAGAATATGGCCAAGTCTTTTTCTGATATGGGAGAGATGCAACGAAAGCGTTCAGAGTTATTTTCTGAAGCTGAAAAGAAAAGGCAACAGGAGTTCTTAAATTTTCAAAGAGAACAAGCAGAGCTCAACAGGCAACACGAAATAAAGATGTTGGAAATGATCATGAAGTACAGTAGACCTTATCAATCAGAAGCCCCACATCTTCGCCCTCCAAATATCCAGATTGCTCACCAGCAGTCTCCTCACAACATGTATCCCTATGGTGGTTTTAATTTCAGTCAACTTGAATCCGAAGTACAAACCACACTTGAGGGTACCACTATTGCAAGTCTAGGTATGCCAATGTCAAATCAGCATAATCAACCTTGGTATGAACGTAATTAAGTTAAGTGAAAAACAGCAGTGTATTAACTACATGGTCAGCATCAACAATTAAATAGTATAGTTTAGTATTCAATTCCAAAGATTTGATGTTGTTTGTTTTTTATTTTTTCTGTGTTATAAAACTGAATCAATAATGTTAATTGAGTGTCAAAGTACCTATATATTGATGACAAATTGTGCAAAATGCATGGAAACATTTAATTTACTTGTATATGCTTGTTAATTGGATGTTAATTGTGACTTTGGAAATATCAATGTAAAATATTCCTTTATTTGATTTTATTAATATTTTGATGCTGATATTTTTTCTGTTTTCATGTAATACAAAAAATATTGATATTTTTTCCATTAAGTGAACACATTCCAGTATATTTGTGTACAATGTATACAATGTACACAAATCAGAATGCCAGATGTATCATTGATTAAAATGAAATTTTTTTTGAAGGAAACAAATTTACAACAAATTTACAAGTATATTGTATAGGTATTTAACTTCATCAATAAACGTGAGTCTTACACTAAATGTTAATTTTCCCTGAGTTTTCCAGCTAAATACAAGTATATGTTTTATTCTTGTTAGGTTTGTTCTCTGTGTGAGAGTTAACTTTTGTAATAGTCTCTCTGGCCACAAACTACTGGCAGATGAGAAATAGCCAAATGCTTGAAAGACAGTTTGGTTAATGATGCACCTCACTGAGGAAAATGCATATTAGAAGATGACTTATGTTGTAACAACAACAGATTTTTATGAAACACAAAAGCAAAAATTGCTAAACTATTAAACTATTAAAACTTATTCATAATTTATATGGCTCTTTCTTGCCGCAATGTCCATAGCCAATTAGATATCATGCATCTTACATCTTCAGCTGCATTTGTTGCTTGGCCAGATCCACGAATGAGATTGAGCTGGTTTACTTCAAGGCGCCATCTGGGCTTACATGGATCATTTCTGTCAATGTAAATGTTATGTAGCAAAATGCAAGTCATGATTAATATTTGAATATTATCCAAATGACATTCTGTCTTCTTGTACAAGATTCGCCATCTACCTTTAAGCATCCCAAATGCATGCTCGGACACAACTCGGGCAGAACAAAGCCTCCTGTTGAAGTACCTTTTTTGGGGTTCTCGCATTCCTTCTTTATATGGCTTAAGCAACCACGAGTGGGATGGAAAGGCTGAATCACCAACAGTTGTAAGTGGTATTTCTCCACAGGGTTGTAGGTTCAGTGATTTTTTTGGCAGCACTTTGCCATGTTCAATTTCTGAGTATACTTCACAATTCTTTAAAAGCCTTGAATCATGAGTTGAGCCAGGTGCACCTACTGCAGCAAACATAAACCTTTTATTATATCCAATAAACCCCATATTAGTAACAGAATATCGCTTCTTGTAACTATAAAAATTCTTCAATCTACTCGAAACATATACATGAAAGCCATCCCATGCCCCAACACATGGAAACTCCCAATTTTCAAGAAACCCTTGGAGTACGTGTGTCCATTCATCTATTGTCTTTGGTAGGTAAATAAACCTGTCATACAAGATCTTGACCAGCACTTTGCAAACGTCCATGAAGATGCAATAAGCAGTTGATGCAGCAACACCAAATAAATCTCCTACTGTTAGATAGGTAACTCCATGCGCCAACCGATACAAACAAATTGCCAATTGTGTATCAAGTGTTGTTGGATGGGGTTTCATTCGAGTTGGTTGTTTAACAATTTCGTGACCAATTTCGTTTAGAAGAAAATCAAACGTCGCACGAGACACTCTGAAGCGCCTCTTGAATGCTGCATCACTCCAAGATTGATAGCCTTCAGACCACCAAGTATTTCTCCTGCGCTCATCAGGACGCCTGTCCTTCCTTTGTTTTCTAGTGAGAAAAATAACAGATGATGCTGCAGCAAGCGCTAGTTCGATCTCATCAGCTAATTCATCTTCGAAACGACGCTTTGCTCGTGTAACGCTCTCTCTTTGCCACAAAAATAATCTTTCTTCATTTAATTTTCTTTTTCGAGATAAATGCTTCACCAATTGCATTTCTGCCCCCATTTTGAATTTGAATTTTCCGCCATAGACGTTTGCTGCCGAGCCTCCGAATTGACAAGTTCGTCTCGTTCGTCTATATGAATTTTGTGTGGATAGTTCGTCTCGTGTTTATACTTAGACGGATGATCTGTCAGACGGATGATTCGTCCAGACGGATGATCCGTCTCTAGCATAAAAAGGGCCAATGGTGCTTATAAATTAAACCCATTCAATTTCCAGCATTTCAACGTTTCATCCTTATGCATTTCTGTAAACGGCGAATCTCTACCATCTAAGCCTTTCAAGCTGTCGTTTGGTAACAATCCTAGGTACATAGAAGCATGTCTATCGCAATTTGCTGGCACTGGAAAAATGTTTTTGAACGCCGGAAATGGAATTGATCGTGACGAGTTTCCAGGGGCGGATCTAGAGTATGTCAAATCCGTCGCGCGACTGATGTTTGAAATTCAAAAATTACCTATTCATATTAATTAAAAATTCATTAATTATTCTTACTTTATATGTTTGTAAATGATGATCGTCCAGGTTAATAAAGTCCTGAGAAGGACTGTTTTTGTTGTTGTTGACTGACGTTTCGACAACCTTAGCGGCAGTCATCTTCAGAGTCAAATGAGGAGTAAACGTCAGGTTAGCCGTATTTGTTATCTGGTTCTTACGTCATTGTATTGTGTGTACAGGAAATGTGTATTGTCATTGTGGATTAGTGTGAAGTGAAATATTTTATTTTTAGTTGTGATGTGTGATTTAGGTGTGACGTATTTAGTTGTAATGTGTGGGTGTCAATTGAGTATTGTCATTGTGAATTAGTTTGAAGTGTTGTGTTTTTAGTTGATCGTTTGTTTGTATTGTGAATAAGTCGTTTGTAAGGTGCCAGTAATTGCTGTGATCTGTTCAGGGGGGTTTGTTCCAACATTAGAATGTTGGTATACCAACTTGGAACAAACCCCCCTGAACAGATCACAGCAATTACCGGTTCTTTTTTCCTTGGTTCTTTTTCTTGGTTCTTTTTTTCTATCTCTGGCTGCAAAACGTTTGTCGAATTAATGCATATGATCTGAAGTGCTTGAGTTTTTATAATGTCTCAATGACTCTATTTTGTCGGCATTTTTCAATTATTTGATTAAGGCTTCTTTTAATCATATTTCCGTCAAAATTTTTTCCCATGAAAAATACCAATATAGTAAACATACAGTTTCATAAATATGCGGACTCTAGCTGTGCTAGCCGATTATAATTACCTCAAGGATTAAGTTTTGTCTGCATTTTTTAATTGTTTGATTAAGGCTTCTTTTAATCATATTTCCATAAAAATCCTTTCTCCATATTAACGATACGAAAATAGGAATTATTTAACTTTGCAATGCGCAGGTTCTGGCTATGTTTAAGGTTTTGTCCACACGTAGCCGGGTATTTTTCAAAAAACGAAGGTTTTTTTTCCTGTTTCAGCCTTCCGTCCATGCATAACGAGCGATTTCCATGACAAATTTGTGTGATTGTCTTTACTGTTTATTCTATCTAAGGTTTGTTTTTTCTGCCAGTTTAAACTGTTTAAAGATAATTTTGTGTTTGTGTGTATTGTGTGTAACGATTGCTGTTATCATTCCAACGAATATTTTTTTTGCTGTGTTAAGCATGATGAAGCCGATTATAAATGTCACAATGACTCCATTTTGTAGGCATTTTTCAATTATTTGATTAAGGCTTCTTTTAATCATATTTCCGTCAAAATTTTTTCCATGAAAAATTTTGAACATACAGTTTCATAAATATGTCGACTCTAGGTGTCCTAGCCGATTATAATTACCTCAAGGATTAAGTTTTGTCTGCATTTTTTAATTGTTTGATTAAGGCTTCTTGTAATCATATTTCCATCAAAATTCTTTCTCCACACGAATGATGAAAAATTTCTTCTTGCTTGTTTTCATAGTAAAATGACAAGTTAAAAATTGCAGAGATAATAATTGTTAAGACTCCTAGCTATAATTTTTAAGACAGTTATGATACATAATATTTTTTTCCAAACCAAAACTGACAATGGCCTTGAACGTTATTTCACAATCTTAATTGGTCGTGCTTGAAATACATTAGGCCTGAAGACATACGAGTTAATTTACTGTTTTAATATTTTAATGCCTTCATTCAATCTGAAACGCACGCATGCCAAGGAAATAATCGATCCATTGGAAAATTACTGCTAACAAAAGAGCCTATGTCAATAATGTGCATGTAAAACCACTCACGCCAAAGTCTCAGGCAAAGTCTTCAGTAAACGGCGAATCTCTACCATCTAGAATGGCTACACAAAACACAATCACGCCAATTTTGAGTAAGTTGAATTGGAATACAATTTCAATGTTAGATATGACTTTAGAAAATTTAAGTTGTGATTTTGTTCATTGTTTTAGGCCAGTATAAACACGGCCACCTATGGGTGATTTGCCCCCCAAGCTGTAGGTATAAAGTCCATCTTTCTATGGTTGAGGAAAGGCTAGTAGAATGCTTGCCCTTTCAATGTCCGATATGCTTGTAAGTGAAATAATTAATATGCTTGCTGAATGTAGTCGTTTTTTCTATGTAATGTCCATTGCTTTATACTCTAGATGCTTTGACGAGGAAGTCGACAGATTTCTCGAAGATTTTTTTGAGTATGTATTTTTATAATTCTTTATCTTTTGAAAATTGATACAGTAGAACAGTCAGTAAGATTGATTTCTTTTTATTTCAGAGTGGTCGTTGCCAGTTTCGTACAATAAGAATATTATATGTCAATAAAATGTATTTATGAATATCAACGTCTCATGTTCTAATTTGTTCTTTTTTTCTGTCAAAAATATTTTTCTCCAACCATTACAAGTGTACTTGATAAGTTCTAGCCCATTTACTATCGGAGTCATGTCTTGTAAACTATCAAAGAAGGATTTCATGACTTCTTCCTCATCAATTTTTGATACTACGTCATCAAAGTATATCGTAACCCTTTCATCATTAGGCATCATCAAGCAATCGTGTCGTCTTTGTAAGGGGTGGTCAACGCGACAAACTTCAGTCTTTTACCACAAGTTCGTATATTTTAAAACCAATTTCAGTAGCATAGCACTTTAACAATTTAATCTGTATATTGCTATGGCATTCATCTAAAACATGGCTCTCATCTTCAAATTCGAAGGACGATTCCTTCACATTCTTTGCTTGCTCAATGTCTACTTTTAAAGCCATTTTCGTTTTAGTTAGACAAAAATTACCAAATAACTTTAACTCAATAAAATTGTAACGTGTTCTCCTTTTTTATATTTGCAAAGGAAACAAGAAAACGGATCTAATATTGCTTTAAGAATAGAAAACAATTGACAATTTTAATTAAGTTTTATCGTGTTTCAATTAATCATGTCATCCAGTAGCAACCTTCGTTCATTTTACATGTTTCCGTTTTACACGCGCGCGCCCTGTTTACTTCCTAGGACTGGAAACTAATTGACACGGGTAAGAGCTCTGTTTACTTCCGGGACCATACCTGCACCTTAACTACTGTCTTGTTATCAACACTAAAGCTAGAATTAAACCTTCAACCAAGGAGCAATGGAATACTAGAGTGTCGCGATAGAATAGAGGGGGAGTATCCCATATTCCTACCGACAAAATCCACATTTACGAGGAGAATTGTGGAACAAGCACATTTAACAACGCTCCATGGGGGAGTCTCAGCAACCATTGCCGAAGTGCGAGAGCGATATTGGATCCCGAAACTGCGTCGACTAGTGAAGCAAGTGATGTCCAAATGCTATGTTGCGTAAAGTTTTGAGCACAGTCATTCCAAAACCCACCGGAAGGAAGATTGCCAACTACAAGAACCCAAGGGTCAACTCCATTTCAAGTGCTAGGAGTCGATTTCACTGGCCCTATTCGATACATGGGGAAAGGAAAAATGAAAAGAAAAGCATACCTTGTTCTTTACGCGAGCAGTCTAACCCGAGCAGTGCACTTGGAGTTGTTGAGATCACTGGAAGTTGCAGAGTTCGTCCCGAGTCTTAAGAGATTAATAGCAAGAAGAGAAAGACCGGAAATAATATATTTAGACAACGCTACAACATTTAAGGCTGCAGAAAATTAGCTTAGATTGGCCCAGAAAGATGAAAAGCTCAACTTGTTTCTTACAAAACGAAAGATAGAATGGAGGTTTAACTTAAGTCGAGCTCCTTGGTAGGGGGGACAATTTGAGAGACTGATTGGTCTTTTTAAGCGTAGCTTCTATAAGAGCGTTGGAAATGGTAGATTGACATGGGAGGAGTTGTCTGAAATCATCTTGGTCGTTGAGGTGGCACTTAGCAATCGCCCATTAAGCTACGTAGAAGACGAAATTGAGCAACCAGTGCTCACTCCCAACAGGCTGCTGCACATAAACCCAAATGATCTTCCTGAAGTCAAACCTCATCATCAAGAATCGACCGATCTACGGAAAAGAGCTAAACAGCTGAGGAAATACAAAGATCAGATGTGGTGACGATGGACGCGAGAGTATATTAGAGGATTGAGAGAGCGCAAAAAACAAAGGAATGGTGGAAAGCAATCAGATTATCCAAACCATGGGGATGTGGTAGCAATTCAAAGTGAAGAAAAGAACCGGAATATGTGGAAGGTAGGTATTGTGGAAGACCTGATCCGTGGACGGGACGGAGTTGTACGGGGAGTAAGGTTGAGAACAGCGAAAGGAAGACTCGAGCGGGCTGTGCAGCAACTCTACCCTCTAGAGTTATCGTGTGACTTAGATCCCAAAGGCGAATTGAATCCTGCAGCTCCTGAATTCCAACTGAAACCACGACATGATGCAGCAGTTGCTGCAGAAGTGAGAATGCAACAACATGTGGAAACTGAAGAGTGGTGACATTTATAAAATTATATTTAAACATTTGCAGGCAAAATAATCCCTGTTTGAACTTTAACGAAGTCAGTCCCTTCTGTTATATATTTTAAAATTAATATATAGGGGAGTGTGTCGGGACTGACGGACATACCGTAGTAAATATGATTGACATTTATTGGGAGGGACTTAGAAGTGGGTTGTTTTTTTATGATAGTGAAATGGTTATGTACCATTACGATTATTCTTTAGTATCTGTACTGTGATTAGAATAAGAGCAAACGTTCGTGCACGGTGACTGGATTCAAAACGGCAACTTGGGGTTGCATAAGTACAATATATTTAGTTGAATAAACGTATGTCGGTGAGTTGTCGAGGACTACGATCTAAAAGCGGAGGTAAATTCTCGACACTCAACATAACAAACACTTTGATTCTATCTCAAGCATGGTGGCCATGTCAGTCTCTTTTGAAGCTATTGATAGTGCTGGAAGTGGTTGTTCTGTTGCTAAACTGGTCAGGGCAGAAGCTATGTTAAATGCAGAAGATATGGCATGGACTGGTTGTGTTTGTTTGTTGGTACTCTCTTCAGTTACATCCTGTAGCATTTTTTCTTATTATCCTGACATATACTCTAGTGTTTATAGGTGGAATTTATTATTTAACCAAAGAATTGAACCTCAAATTCTATCTAGAGCTTGTGCTTCCACTAGTAATTATTAGCGAGTTTTGTTTTGCTTTGAAGGTTTAGCTCCTTAAGCAACTGCATTCAAACACAATCATTATGTGCCTTTGATACTTGGTGGGAATGGAACTAAAAGAAAGGGAAGTAGTCACTTGTCACAAGCTAAAAAGCCCAGTATACAAACAAAGTTGAGGTGCACACCTTCTGGTCCTACTGAGACAACCATGACAACTAAGACTCATCCATATGGTGTATCTCACAGTAGCGCTTTGGTTCCTTGTGATGCTTCTTCTTCTATTTCATCTTCTACCTTGCGATTACCGGATAATAAAACTGCAAATGCTGATTTGCCTAGAATTCATAGGATGTTGGTTTTTATAGAGAAAAAGTGAGAGGTATGGAAATTCACGAAATTGAAAAACTTGTGAAGAATGTACTTGTACCTGATGAATGCTATGAAGTTCCTAAAACTGTTGATGCAAATGGTCACAGTAGGTCCTTTCGACATGATTGGCTGAAGGATTATCTTTGGCTTTCGTATTCTCCAAGTCTTAATCGTGCTTTTTGCTTACCATATGATTTGTTTGGTGATAGGTTTCCCTCCAAAAATAGTCGACTTAAAATATTTTTTTCTGAGCCATTAACACATTGGCCTGATGCTAAAAGTGCAATAAAAAGGCGTATAAGTACATCATCAGGTCTTTATGTTCACACTTCTGCTCTTCTTAAGGATATCTTGGATCAGAGTTCCGGTAAAAGCCAGCCAATATACGTCATGATTGACAGTATCTTAAATAAAAGATTTCAGAGAATAGGAAAAAATTAGTTCCAGTAGTTGATACCATCATTCTTGCAGGTCGCCTTCAATTACCACTTTGAGGTCATAAGGATGATTCTCAGTATCATCCTGAAGTTGGTGAATATTCTGAAAAGCATGCTGGTAATTTTATTGAATTATTAAACTTCGTGCAGGGGACACCATTTCGGAAACCCATCTTAAGCATCATGATAAAAATGCCTCCTACATTTCTAGAACTACTCAGAATGAGTTAATTAGGTGTTGTGGTCAATTCATCACTGAACAGCTTCTAGTTGAAGTAAAAAAGAGCAAGTTTTATGCATTGATTGCAGACAAAACATGTGATATTTCTAATAAAGAACAGATGTCTTTGGTTTTGCGTTTTGTTGACGAGGAGTTCAACATAAGAGAAGAATTTTTTCGATTCATTCATTGTAGTTAGGGTATGTCTGGGAAGGACCTTGCATCTGATTTTGAAATGTTTAAACGAACAGTTGAATTTGGACATTCAGGACTGTCGTGCGCAGGGGTATGATGGTGCAGGTGCTGTTGCGGAATGCATTAATGGTCTTGCTGCAAGGATTAAGAATTTGAATGAGAAAGCCATTTACACACATTGTTTCAGTCACAGATTAAATCTTAGTATTTGTTGGACTTGTGCTGTTCAGTATGTAAGAAATGTTTTGGAACATGTGAAGGAAGTTGCTAACTTTTTCAACTCTTCCCAATGCAGACAACTAATTTTGGAGAAATGCATTGGAGAGCACTGTCCAGATTCTGCAAAAAAGAGATTGAAAAGTGCTTGTAAGACAAGATGGGTTGAGCATATTACTAGCTTAGATACTTTTGAAGAATTGTATGTTGCTATTGTTTTTTCCTTGGAAGAAATGAGTTTTAACGTCTAAGGCAAGTGTAATCGTGAGACCTCTAGTAAAGCTTCCCCTCTGTTACATCTTTTGACATCTTTTGATTTTATTGCAGCACTCGTAATAACTAGATGTATTTTTGATCTTACTCTTCCAGTTACTCAGTTACTTCACTCTTCTAGTAATGATATTGCTGACGGTTTGAACTTGATTGAGGCATTGAAAAATTGTCGAGAACTGTAAGAAATGAAGTCGATGTTGATCATGCTAACTGGTACAGTATTGCATTGAAGATGGCAGAAAAGGTGGGTGATGAAGAGAAAAAACCTAGAACTTGTGATCGTCAGGCAATTAGAAGTAATGTTCCGTCTGAATCTGTATCTGATAACTTTAAGAAAACAATTACCATTCCTTTAGCTGATCACTTGTGTTCTGAGCTAGAAAAAAGGTTTGATTCATCAGCAACTAGCATATATTATGGCTTGTTTTTAGTTCCATCCAAGTTACTTTTATGTCTTTCTTGTGGCGTTTCTTGAAAGGAAAAATTTTATTCATTTTCTTCTTTGTTCTTGGATCATCTTCCAAATCCAAAGGCTTTGATGGTGAACTTGATCTCTGGCAGAAATAATGGGAATCATCTTCTACAACTTGTCTTCCTGAAAATGTCTCTTCTACTTTAAAGTCGGTAAATTTTCCAGGTTTTGAGAACATAAAAGTATTGTTAAAGATCTTAGGTACTATTCCAGTCACTTTTGTGAGTGTGAGAGGTCTTTCTCTGCTCTGCGAAGATTAAAGAACTATACAAGAAGTACTATGGCTGCTGACAGGTTAAATGGTCTTGCTTTATTGTATATTCATCAGGACATTAATCCAGATATAGAAAAGATTATAGATCTTTTTGCAAAAGACAAAAGAAGAATTGAACTAGCTTTCTAGTTCAGAGTGAAAGTACTTCATGCCTTTTTTAAACTCTTGACTGTAAAGATGACTGCCGCTAACCTCAGTCAATATAAACACAAACAATCGTTCTCAGGACTTTACTTACCTGGACGATCAACATCTACAAACATTTTTTTGCTTTTTTTTTGTTGACAACTTCATTCGATAAATTGACATAAAATCGTTTGCATAATAATCAGCCAAATAGGTATGACTACACCATTATAAAATGAAATTCCATATGATGAAGCGTAAAGAACTTTTTTAGGCTAAGTTTGAAATGAGCTAGGCCGTCCATGTTGGAAGCCCTCAAAGCATATTTTTCTGCGAGTTTCCTAGGCATGCTGATGAGCTCTGATATTGAGCGAAACGGTCAAAAATCGATAATTTATGAGGAAGAATGTTAGTTCATTCCAGTAATAAATATTTTAGAAGACCAACTGCAAGAACGCAGGAAATAGCGTTTTTCGCAATCCAATTTTAAAATTTTACCGGGGGGGCATGTTCCTGGACCCCCCTAGAAAAGTCGCACTAACGGTGCGACATTGTGCCTAAGTTCATATACGAAGCTGGATCTGCCCCTGGCAGCTGACACCAAAAATGGAGGATTTGTTCCATTGCAGCTGAGATTTACCGAAATTGACTGCTTTTCCTCTCATTCCATACATGAGGTTTTAACACCCTGTAATATATGCTTGTATTTAAGAACTCATGTTTATAATTTATCTCAAATAATCTGAAGATGTCTTAAGACGAAACGTTATTAATAAATCTTTCTCTATTTTATTATTGTGATGGCTTTTTTAAAAGTCTTATGTTGGGCTATTATGTTCATATTGAAAATATCATATTTTATCTCAACAGATCACGAGACAAATGTTATCTCATTTATTCTCATTTGTTTTTGCCTACTTTCATGTGATGGCCTTTTTCGCAACAATTGTAGGATTTGAAAAAAAAATTTTTTTTGACTCTGAAGATGACTACCGCTAAGGTTGTCGAAACTTCAGTCAACAACAACAAAAACAGTCCTTCTCAGGACTATAGCAACCTGGACGATCCACATTTACAAACATCTAAAAGGGACAAGCCAAAAAATTGCATCTTAGAATGTTCTCTATTCACCTGATTTAAAAAGGAAATTGTTATCAGTTCAAGCAATGATTAAACTGGGAGCCACTGTCGTTTTCAAAGATGATGAATGTACAATTTCTAAAGATTCAAGGTTACTGGGAATTGGAGAAATGCAAGGAAAGTCGTATATGCTTAAAGTTATACAACAGGAGAGTACTGTTCAAGAGAATTTGGTGATTATTTGAAGTCAAAAGGAATAACCCACCAAAGAACAGTTCCATATTGTCCTGAACAAAATGGCATCGATGAAAGGATGAATAGAACTTTAGTTGAATGTACACGATCTATGTTACATTATGAAGTTATTCCCAAAGAATTTTGGGCAGAAGCATTGAATACCGCTGTATACATTGGCAAACGTAGTCCCAGCGGCGGATCTAAGGTATGTCAAATCAGTCACGCGACTTATGTTTATAGTTCAAAAATTATTTATCAATTTTAATGATTACAATTTTTTTGATCATTATATTTTCGTTCTGTAATTGTTTGGATTTCATCGTCAAAATTCTGTTTTATGTATGAAAACTTATACAAATACTACCTTAGTAAAAAGATCAGTGGATAAAAACATGTCTAGAATTATATTAACTGGCTGACTGATAAGCGGGATGGCTCGACTGGTTCGACCGATAACGGAGTTCAAGAACGCTTATTTATTAAGCCATTCCATGGGTCAATAGCCAGAGCAGTGGACGATTTGGAATAATCACGACCGATAAACGGGTGGCTGGACCGATAAGGGAGTCCAATTACTATCGTGTAATTGGTTCGTTTAAATTTTTGTCTTACTGTAATTGGTTAGACCGATTTCGATTGATAGCCAACTGAACTAACATAGTCAAGCTCACTGTCTGAATTGAATGTTTGATCGTTTCATAGTAATTTTCTAAAGCATGATAGAAACTAAACTACAATCAGATGGAATTTATGGAAATCTTTTACAAATTCATATATTGACTTGAATGCTGCTGTCCAAACTGTGAATTTTTTCAAGAGGGTGAAAAATTTATAGATGAATTGTAAATGCTTGGCAAAGACGATCTCGCGAGAGACATTTCAGTCATTGATGTTCAAAAGCAAGCCAACATTGTTTTCAGTTTTCTCTGCAGAAATTTACATCCAAAATCGTAAGTAAAGGACAACTGAAGTGTATGCATGAATGTAAAATATCGAAGTCAATTTATGCTATATGTGATGCGATATATGTCAATATGACGTATGGTAAGCAGATTCATGCTTCTAAAATTTTTGTTGCCGAACGACTTTTAGCTATGATTTCTTTAGTGCTTGGGGAATCGTGGCCGTTATATGGCAGCGAAATCCTACATTCCTGCAAATACATTTCAATGGATAAAAAATCTGTAGCCATAAGGCGCCATACTATTATTTATTTTATCATAAACAAATGTTTGGGGCTTTTCATTTTATGATTATTAATCATTCAATCATTGGACTGTTATACTACACATTGTTTAAAATTTGAGAAAACTAACGTTGATTACATGAGAAACTGTTTATTATAACCTGTGATATGAAAGAATGTTTTTTAAGCAGTGCGGTGTTTGAAATCAAATGTAGATATGATCTTCGCACTTTGTTGGACAATTTAAGCAATTATCTCATGAACCTGAAAAATTCAGGTGACTCAACGGGATTCGAACCCATGACATCTGCGGTGCCAATGCAGTGCTCTGACCAACTGAGCTATGAAGTCACACAGTGGTGACTGAAAGGGCTGCCGACCTATTTTAAGACATTCTCGGCGATCGTGATTCAACGTGACAACCAAATGACATTCGCAGATTTAAAAGTTGCCCTCCGAAACCACGAAGAAAGTGAGAAAAGCCGAAGTGTTGAGACGGAGAAGAATATTATGATGTTAAGAAACAGCGAAAGGTTCGACGGGACCTGTTTCAAGTGCGGAAGAAGGGACATCGCAAATCTGATTGTTGGTCGAAGAAAGGAAAGTGGTGTTCCATCTGCAAAACCAAGTCGCACGAAATCAAGGAATGTCGCAGCAACACGAGAAGAAGAGATACAACAAAGAAGGCAGAAGATCGAAGAAAGGAAAACAACGATAACCGTGAACATACATTTATGTTTAATGTAAGAGCAAATTGTGATCGTGATATTTGTCATGTCAGTAATGATTGTCTTCTAGTAGATACCGGGGCAACTAGTTATATTGTCAGTGACAAAACGAAGTTCATTAATTTTGATAAAAATTTTGATCCGGATATGCATGTCATAGAACTCGCCGACGCCAGCAAAGCTAAAGTTGTAGCAGGAAAGGGCGCAGCGAAAGTAAGGCTTTATGACGTAAATGGAAGCACGCATGAAGTAATCTTAAACAATGCGCTATATATTCCATCATATAATCAAGACATCTTTTCGGTCAACGCGGCGATTGAAGAAGGCGGAAGCATGAATTTAGATAAAAAAAACAAGAATTTTAGGAGCGCAGACGGCATAGTCTTTGACATAGCGCAGATAGGGCGCTTATATTACCTAAATAACATTTCGTCTTCTAAGAATGACGCAGGGACTCTGCTAGAATGGCATAGAATTCTAGGGCACTGTAATTTTTCGGACATACGTAAATTAGAGAAGGTAGTGGACAGAATGAAGATCTCAAGTTATGATGAGAATGAATGTGAGATATGTACTCAAGGCAAGATGACACAGGCAAGGAGTAGAACCCCTGATAGAAGAGCTACAGCCCCATTAGATCTGGTACACTCAGACTTAGCAGGACCGATCAGCCCAGAAGGTAAAGACGGTTTCAAGTATGCCCTGTCATTTATTGACGATTACAGTGGGGTGATCATGATATATTTTTTGAAATACAAATCTGACACTATCAAAGCCACGAAACAATTTCTGCCTGATATTGTACCTTTCGGCAAAGTTAAATGTATTAGAAGTGATAATGGAGGGGAGTTTGTTGGACATGAGTTTAGAACTCTTCTGCGTGATAACAAGATTAAACATGAGACATGTGCTCCTTATTCGCCTCACCAAAATGGGATGGCAGAAAGAGCTTGGCTAAGTTTATTTAATATGGCCAGGTGTTTGCTACTTGAGTCAAAGCTGGCAAGGACCTTGTGGACTTATGCAGTGATGGCATCTGTGTATATCAGAAACAGGTCAATGACCGGTTGGGTAAAACCGGTTTCAATGACCGGTTGGGTAAAACCAGTTTCAATGACCGGTTGGGTAAAACCCCTTATGAGGCTTTAACAGGGTTAAAACCTAATCTTAGTAAGATGCATGTGTTTGGTTCAGTGTGCTATGCCTATGTGCAAAACCCGAAAAAGTTTGAACCAAGAAGCAAGAAGGGGATTTTCATTGGGTATGATAAGTGTAGCCCTGCATACCTGGTATATTACCCTGAAAACATGAAAGTAGAGAGAGTAAGATTCGTAAAGTTTTTTGATAGCATCCATGATGAGATTGAGAAGACTCCAACGGACGATGAAATTTACCAACCTTCTTACGCAACACCTACGTCAGAACAGCCTACTGCAGAAATAGGGGGGATGTTAGGTTATGCTATCATGTGATGTGTATATGTGTATCTTGTAAAGTGTGTGTTAACTTCCTACATGTTTAATTATAGAAATGATTGTAAACGTAATCGATATTATTTGTAACAAGAGCTGAGGAAATAAACTGACCAATCATAGTTTAGCGTCACGTATGTAAATAGCTGTATCATTATGTGTATCAGTTAGTTGTTGTGTGCTAGTCTTTCTTCTATGTGTGGGAATAAATGTAATAAAACCTCCAGACATCAGTGTGATTATTTATCATGGCCACGGCATCAAACCCAACACACTCTACCGATGACTGCACTACCACTAGAAAATTAAAAATAGGTACGCGAATAGCGTAAATGACTAATATTTAATGAACTACATGAGAAATCACAAGAGAGGTCCGACGGTCATTTTTTGTAATGATAACCAAAATATTATAGATCATTTATCAACAAAAATGATAATTTTGTCTCCAATTACCAACAACTAAAAGTCTGTCTTGTTAGTTTACTAGCTTGCGCTCTATGCACGACTGTCTTAAACGACTGAAACAAGTCGGACGTCTGTTTGAGAGCCAGGCTTCAGTCAATGACTCAATAGACCTGCTAAGTAGGCTAGCCACTATAACAAGAGTAGCGACGTCCTCAAGAAATCTCAAAAAAATTTTAACAAAAAATTAATTTTTTTTCCACTTCAAGAGAGAATCTTCACAACAGAATTTTATACAATTACATTTCTATTTTTAATCCTACGGGAGGTCTTGAATTGTAGATGATTGATGTTCAGTATTAATACTAACCTTTAGTATACCTGTATGATATTTTGAGATGTTTATTTCAATTATTGCAGGTAATATTTTACAAATTTCCTTAATTTTATACTTTCGAATATTTATCGTAGCGCATCATCGTCATGTAGTCGTGTCAATTCGTGAATTGCCGTCCTAGCATCTGGACATTTTTTAGTATAACATTGTGGTTAACCTGTGAGTAGGCTACCCACAAAAAAATATTATTATGCTTGGATTAATAATAAGATGCAATACCAGTAACGATTCCTGTCTGTGGGAGAAAGCCAAAAAATTGATTGAATTAGGCAAAAAAACTATACATTTTTAAGCCTCGTTGCACCCCCTAAGAGGACATTAAATTTAGCCCTGTATGTTGTCTACAGTCATTGTGACAATTGACAAGTCAGGTGTCGTGGCTACATAAGAAACATCAATAATGCTTCTTGATTACTTTATTCCTTAATAGACTGTAAAACGACCCCCCTTTCAAGGTTTCATTCTGGTCTTTCTGGTTTCATCAGTCTTCCTTTTTCCGCAAAGTTAACTTCATTAACTGTACATTATAACTGTGGAAATAACTGTTCTGCTTCAATTCATTTTTCTAGCCCAAATTTAAAACTTCGTGACTCATATTCATTATTGTCCCCTCCAGAAATCAACAGTTGGGGGAGCATTGGCCCCACTTGCCCCCCCTGCCACCACGCCACTGCTATAAAGTAAAAATGTGTTCCTATGTATGCAGATAAACCTTGAAATTTGGCAAAACAGCAAAGTCATTTTCATGATCACTAGGTCATTTTTCTGATGATCATTATAATTTCTAAACTAAATTATTTCGGATTTACATTTAAACAAGCTTTGATCATATGAAAAGATATTTATCATAACCAGTAAGCATGACATATGTAATTATATGATTGAAGGCATGTTGGTTACATTCTGTTTGTATTGGCAAATACAATGCTACTGGTGATTGCTATATAGCACACCTTGCATATACTTACAGAAGATACTAGTCGAGTGAAATGCCTAATAAACATTAATGGCATTAAGCTGTCCTTAATTGCATATTTTCACTCTGATAATCTGATTTTTGCTTAATCTTTGGCAGAAAACAATTTTGAGTTTTTTCTCAAAAGGTGAATTGGATGGCACTGTTTGTGGAGATGGGTAAAGGTTTACAACAAACTTGCATGGTTTGAAGTCTGAGATTTTCCACATCTATGAACTGTCCCTTGTACTACCAAATTTCTAACTCAACTCATTACATAGAGGTTTGAATGAGGGTCTCTAGGGGGTCTATGGCTGACAACTTGGTAGAAATTTTTAAAGACAATATCTTTTTTGGAATAGCATTATTGTAAATTGAAATTTATGTTCATAGACATGCTAATGAGCCATATATTTGGCATGATAATGAGCCTAAATATTTGGCAAAACATTCAAGTATTTATTGTTCACTTCATTTTTTTTGAAAAAAGCGTAAGCAAAATGTTTTGTATTTACACAAAAACGATGCCCACAAAATACATTTAGTATTGCTCTTAAATGCTGAAAATGGCATTTCCAAGGCTCTTAAATTCAAAATTTCTCAGGGAAGAATGCCTCGGATCAACCCAGGTGCAAAGCGCCTCCGACGTTTCAAAACTGATGTTTGAAAAATCCTAGATCCACCCCTGCGTAGTCCTACATCATCATATGAAGTTACACCGTTCGAGATGGTTCAAGGTGAAAAGCCAACTAAGAGTTTTTGGATGCATCTAAGAGTTTTTGGATGTATTGCATATATGCATATCCCTGATGCTAAAAGAAATAAATTAGATGAGAAATCAGGTAAATGTGTATTTGTTGGATATCTAAAAAACACCAAAAGATATAAACTATACAATGTCGAAAAGAAAGCATTTTCTTGCAGTCGAGATATCATATTTGAAGAAAGGAAATTTCACGAATTGAAGTCCAAGGACAGTTACGAGTTTTACCGCAAGAATGATGATAATAGCGACCTTAAGATGAACAACGGAAAGGCCAAGGACGGGGCACGGGAAATAATTATCTCTTATAGACCCTTTGCTGTGACGTCACGCACGCTTTAGCAACTATTGCTGCGGGAGCATCTGGAGGACAAGGACATGTGCACGCTTTATATGTTAATGTGGCTAGTAACATAAAGTCAGCGCTTTCTAGGTCAAAAAAAGGTTTTTTGCCTGGATATATAGAAAATAATCAGTGTAAGGATAGTAAAGCGTGTTACAAAATGAAATTAGGACATTGCAATGGAGATGATCCGTACGAAATACCAAAAACTCAATGGCTCGACGATATCGATCTGTGGCCTGCTGTCAGCTACATTCATGTTGGCATGTATTTATTATTTTCGGGTAGTGCGTACACGAAAGAGCAGTTAAAAATTATAAGAGTCTTGATAGTTATCAAAATTTTGTGAATGGATGGGTCGTGAAGTGTTGGTGAAAAAAATATGACGATCATTGCTTGCTTATACCTTAAAGCAGCTTGTAGCACCAACAGAGATTCACCTTCCAAGAGTCTGATCGCAAGCATTTGCTATCCAGAGCTGAAGAAATTTTCAACTGCAGCTACAAGATGGGGTTTCCAGCATGAAGAGGTGGCAATAGACAAACGGAAATCGGTAAACACAAACCATGAAAATGTTTCAGTAACAAACAGTGGATTCTGTATTCATTTGACGCATGGATCTCTTGGTGCTTCTCAAGATTGACTTGTCTCTTGCCAATGTTATGGCAATGGTAATTGTGAAATAAAGGTTTG